CACGCTGTGACAATCAAAACGGACCTCAGACATCGCCCACGTCCCCTGCAGGTCAAGATCGCCCCTGGCTGACAAACATATTGAATGAAACGCAATGTCCTCTGCATTCTACACAATAGCTTCAAAACCTCTTTTCCCTAAAACTTAAGTGGCCATGTTTCTGAGTCTTCTGTCACTTAACTTAATAAAAGGTTGTTGTTTAGTTACTCAATTGTGTCTGACTTCTTTCTGACTCCATGGACTGTTATGTAGCCCCGCCAGGCTCCTCTGTGCTTGGGATTTCCCAAGCAAGAATACTGGAGGGGGTTGCCATTTTCTCCTCCAGGGTATCTTCCTGACTCAGGGATCGAACCTGTGTCTCCTGCGTTGGCAGGCGGATTCTTTACCGCTGAGCCACCAGGGAAGCCCCCAATAAAACATACTCAAAGCAATCAAAGACTGTGGATATAAATAAGATATGAATCATAAAAAAATGTTTGCCTTTTTTTAGAGATCATTTTTTGAAGTTCTAACATGTTTGGAATAGGCAACAGTACACAATAATAAATAATGCATGGATTTGTGGGGGTTTTTGCTGATACTGAAATACTTCTTTACCCAGAGAAAAAGCTCTTTACTTTTTATGTACCAGGAGACACACACAAAATATGAGCATTATCATAAAACGCTCTCATTCTGACACCAGAATTTCATGTTTCCGCACAAATTAAGATGCTCCCCGAAGGCATAAAGTACACAAGCTTTATTGGGCAACAGCAACGGGCCACGCTGGCAGACAACGAAAACAGAACCACTCGGAATCACGCAGGATCACATGTGTGTCATCGCGGGATCAAGAATTTAAATCATCTGGGAGTTCCTGCTAAACTCAAGTTCTGTACCAGAGCTTCTCTCTAATCAAAAAAACGCTGTCCTGGTGAATATTTGCCATGAGGATTACAGATAATCTACTAATGAGGAAGTCAAGGAGTCCTAGAGGAATTCAGTCAGCCCCATCGCGACAAAATAATAAATGAGCCACAATTTTTTTGTTTTTTTTGGGCAATACCGTGCCCCCTCCCCAGCTAGCCCCCAACACACACAATATTCACTGACATTGCCCAGCAACACCAGCAGACAGCGCCTCCAGCCACACCATGACAGAGAAGCCCAGATTCCCTGGAGCAAGGCGCTGGCCGGAGAAGACACTGCAAATCCCCAGGTACCGCCACGCGCTCACGTGCTTCCAGGCTTCGTACAGAAGCGTAACACATACACATTTTTCTAAGACAGAATGGACATAATTCATGGAAATATTTCCTAAGTATATATAAATGACAAAAAAAAGCGCTGTATGTTAAAAGAGGGTGAGAGAAATAAAGTGTGTTGCCTTCGCAAAGCTCCTTGCATATTTCTTAATGAAAAAGAAAACCGTGAATGACAAGATGTTAACACAGTACATCTTTGGAACACTTGAGGTGACATCATACGTGCTCACACACACACACACACACACACACACACACACACATTCCAAACACTCAAAAAAGGTCAAAGATAAAAATGGCTGATGAGTGCTGGCCTTAAAAAGGATGGAGCAGAAGAACATATAGGTCCCCTTTGCAATTTTGACGGAGGTTTAAAATGCTACCCCATAAACACGCAAGGGCGTTTCCATCCCCACCCTAGGAAAAACAAAACAAAGTATGAAAGCAAAAGTCTGGAGAAAGAAAACTAGGCATGATCGTGTCAATTCCCAATGAGCACAAAAGCTCGAAATACATTCGAAAGTATTGTCAGTATAGTCTAAATTTTCAGCGGAAACCATACAGGGAAAAGGGTAAGCAGACATTGGTATTTAACACCACTGCTACGAAAAAGGGTTTTGCTAGGAAAGTCAGTCTGGGATCTGGATACAGTGAAGTAGGAGGAAACTCAGCTCTGGGCCTCCCAGCTCCAGGTGGATGGAAACAGAGGGTCCTGCTCCAAAGTCGAGGTGCTCCCTGGGATGCCCTTCTTTGCTTCGGGGGAAAGTCCTTTGACCCAAGCAGCCCGCGTCAGCGTGACCAGCCTCTCCAAGCACCACTGGCAACACACACGCGCACAGGCATGCTCTCAAAATGGGCATCAAGGCAGGCGGAGGCAGGAAGTCACTCAAGCTGGAGAAGCTTGTCTGTCATTCTCCTAGAGAAAGGGAGGGAGGAACGGAGGAGGGAAAAGACACAGCTAAGGGACTGCTCACCTGCCTACACACAGCACCATCACCAAAAAATGCAAGAAAAATAACCATCAAGTAACAAAAGAAATACCTAGTGTTGTTGAAGGGCAGGAGGAGGTGTCATTTTTTTTTTTAACTTTGAAGGAAAGTATTTAAACAGCACTGTGCCCGTGTGCGGGGTGTGGGGGGCTCTCCAGCTTCCAATCAAACTGGCTGTGGGAGACTCGGGGCCACTGAGTTCCAAGGTGAGGGGACCTCCAAGCTGTCAACGGTGCTTCCTAAATTCCTTCCCAGGTGGTGAACAGAATCTCGTGCTTAAGGTTTATGAACTCAGGAGCTTCCTGGAAGACGGGGAGCTGTGTTTGTGTCCCTGTCTTCTGCCCGCAGTGATGCCGAGCCGGAAGCGCCCGTGTGCGCCGCCCTACAGGACCACGTCTGGGGTGTGCAGGTCAGGGTCCGGTACCCTCAGCTGACCCATGGCCCCACCCCGCGGGTCTCCAGCATTTTCCTAGACACTCAGCACTGCTGCGGGCGGTGGGACAGGCTGCCTGCCGGTGGGGTGGCTCCCCGAGGTGGCCACGGTCTCCGGTCTCCACTCGCACGCTGGATCCTCCAGCTCTTGGCTGCCTCCACCGGGGTGTGGTCAAGAGACAGAACGAGAGGGTTTGTGGATGGCACGAAGGGGCACGTGCGACCTCTGGACAGGGCTTCCTCCACTCCCCTGCGACCCTTCCTCCCTCTCAGATGCCAGTAAGGAGTTTAGTCTAGTCAACTCAAGCACCTCAATCAAAGTTGGGAAATAAAGAAAAATCCAAAGAGACCATCTTCATTCCCCATCTCTGCTGTTCATCTAAGCATTTCCTACTGAGGGTTCCAGGAGACCTTCCTGTAGAAACCATCACCTGTCTGTGAACAAGGTCAAGTTCAGGGCTTGGGAAGGGGGAGAAGTACCTTGAGACTTCTGGGTCAACAGGGCTGACTTCCAGGCAGACAGACAGGTGCAAAAACGCTGAGCACACCTTCCTCCCGCCCCTCCTCTGAAACCACAGAAAATCACCCAGCAAAGACGTCAGACTGGCTCATCCTTTCTCAAAGTTTTGGAGCAAGATCTTCTTCCTAAATAACCGTTCATTTAATGCAACATTATTTCCTGTGGGGTAGAAATGGCTGGGACAGAATGGAAAAAATCTCGCAAAACTGCAGAATCTTGAAAACAAAAATAGAAGTGATGTCATAGCCAATTTAGCAATGCCTGCAACTTACTGTCATTCTATAAAGTTTTAAGAGGGCAACGGAAATACATCAGTGTATCAAGCAGTTCAAAGGCAAGGACCTGGTGTCCCCAGCAATCTAAGAGCAGGCTTACCCGTGGTGGGGTGGCCATAACTTACACCTCTGAAGCACAACAAGAACCAGGCAGGCCCAAGAGCTGGAGGGGACGCAGTCAGAAAGAATTCATCACAAATCTAAGATCTCAAGCACGATCAGCTCTTGCAGATCCACCAACCTAACCCTTCTGGCACGCACATGTGGCTTCTGGAGGGAGAGACTTGAGAACCCAAGAAAGCCTTGCCGGGCCACGGCCAGCGCTCGCCAAGTCTCTTCTTCCTCTGAAACAAGAAGCCACAGCTTTATAAGAAACAGTCGCACAAGGGCCCCACCCTGGTTGGGGAGAGGAATCTCCACTCGCGGCTGCCTTTCAGCAAGCTTCCCTTGAAATCCAGAGGCAGTGCAAGCGAGCCCAGACTGCAGAATTGCAGTCCAGGCCTCCCCCCGCCCCAGGCTCCTGACTTAAAGCTGCCATCGGTGACCCGCAACACGCTAAGACAGGTCCACCTCTGTCGCTACGCCCTCAGCAATTCCTCCTAACAGGAAACAGACTCCTGTGACGTCGAGAGCCCCTGGCCCTGACCTTTCCACTTCAGACTCGGAGGGTCTGAGCCACATGGGCAACGCTGTCTAAAGAATTAGCTGAGGCTCTTGTCATGCTGCTACTGTCGGCAGGTCGAAGAGCCGCCGGTGGCACATTTCCTGCTGAGAAAGAAAAAAGTCCCGGTGTCCTCAGATAGCCACAGGCTTTGTAACTGTTACCAGGTCCCAACGAAGCAAGATAACACCTTTGAAATTCTTTTACAAGGTGGTAGGTGTTAACGTTAACGCTGGGGATGCAGATGCTGAGCTGCAGGGAGGATAACGTGCCTCTCTCACTCCCTTCTCAAGGCTTTTTTGTAATATCAGGAATCCAGCGCCTTTTCGACAAGCCAGGCTGCCTTAGAGAGGATAGTTAGTGTTTTAAAACTCAGATTACTGTCTGCTTAACTTTTTTAACCAAATGTCCCGTCTTTTCCCCCAAACCTACACCAGGGGCTCTATCTTTCTCTGAAACCAGTTTTTTAAGGGCAGAAAGACATAAAAAGTGCACAGACGTTGGGATGGTTTAAAACAACGAGAAACCCCGCTACAGTTTTCAACTAGACAGAAACTTTTAGCACACGACAACGAAATTCAAGTTGTAAGGAAGCCTGCGCGGTGATGCACGTGTCAACCTCTGGGCTGAGTCACGGGGTTTCAGAGTCACGTTCAGTCCTCCGTGAATCGCCAGGGGCTCAGGCCCTCGGGGGCCCTCCGGCGCCTGCCTCCTGCGTATGCCAGGCCGGGGCTCTCCGTGGAAGCCCAGCGCCTGGGCAGCAGGCCCACCCGTGGGCACCCGAACCGCACAGTCCCCGGTGGTGGTCCACAAGAAGCGGCTTGGACACTGCCCCACTCGGTGTGAGCGGAGCCCGGGGTCCCCCCCGTGCTCGGCCTAGGACGTGAGCTTCGAGTAGCTGGGAGGCGAGAAGCGGCGTCGCAGGTACTTGAGGACGTAGAGGGGCAGACAGCTGACCAGGGTGATGACGGACACTTTCCACAGGAAGGGCAGCGTGGCGATGAAGGACACGTCTGTGGGCAGACAGCACAGGGGCGGGCGTGGGGGCGCCGGGGGCACGCGGCTTGTCAGCCTGACCGCCGCGCTCCCCCCATCCCTCTGACCTGCTTCTGCAACTTCTGGATCGTCCGTGACATGCTGCTGTCAACAACTCGGAAAAGAAAACTATGGGGGGGGGCACCCCTCCAGGTGTTTTTGATTTGGAATCTGACAGCTGGAGGTTTTTCTTCCTAAACCTGGCAGAAAGGGACGCTCAAATACACGGTTCTGCTTCCGAGCAGCTTTTTGCCTTCATCTCGGGGACAGTCACAGAAGCCTGAGCCAGGTCTGAGGGAGGAACAAGGGGGTGGAGACCCGTGCTCAGGAAGAGCATGACCGTGGGGGCGGGGGCTGGTGTGAGATCCCCTCCTGGCCGCAGGAGAGTCATCCCTGAGGTTAGGTGGCTTTCGCAAGAGAGAAGTGACCGCTAGTGAGTGCCAGCGGAACTGGGGGCATCTCCCCTGCCTCTTGAGCAGAAGCGGGGGGAAGGCAGTGGGCACTGAGTGAGCGCCTGCTAAGGGCCAGGCCGAAGGCCCCGCCCATGGGCCGCTTGCCCAGTCTCGGGGCAGCTCCACGTCTAAAGCAATAACTGAAGCTCCCGAGGGCAGGCTTGTCTGGCAAGCCTCTGTGACTCCCCGGAGTCAAGCCATTGTAATGCATTGAAGTGCTCACAAAACCCATTCAGAGAGGCTTTCCAAACAAGTGTGCAACTGTCCTAAGACTTCACTTTCCATGGGAATGCCGCTTTATCAAAATCTTTTAAGGAGCAGTTTGCTGATGAAGAAGAGGCAGGATGGAAGATGACTTTGCAATAAGGCAGGGCTTCCAGAGCCAATGGCAGTGTCAAGTCCTGCTGACTGTTACTTCCTCTCTAGCAAGCCTGACTCAGCTCACCACCTCTGCAGCTCCACGGAGCCCAGCACGGTGACGAGCTCCCTGGAGAAAGCCCACCAGGTCCTCGCATTAAACAAATCCCCTGCTAAGCCAGCAGGCACAGGGTGTGGTTTAAAGGCCACACTCCACACTGAGATCAGCCCACCGGCCTCAGTCCCAGGAGGCTGGCCGACTGCCAACGGCCCTGTGCCCCGCGGGACACCCGTGAGACAAGGAGGGCCGCTGAGTGTGGAGGCCTGCTGGACAGCGGGCCCAGGTTTTGCGTGCTGAGGGGCCCGCCTCCCTTCCCACGCTGAGGCCCCTGGACCCGATGGGCAGGCTCTAAATGTGTGTGCGCGTCGGGGGTGGGCGGGGCTCTTACCGATGAATTCGTGGAGGAACACCAGGGAGGCGATGTAGCAGGCCAGGCTGAGCAGCTCGGCCACCGTCATCAGCCAGTGCCAGGTCTGGATGGTCAGGGCCACCATGAGCAGCTCCGTGAGGATGAGCGATGTGAAGGAGATCGCCACGATGTGCACGAATTCCGACTCGAATAGCAGCAGCGCCCCGTACATGATGGTGCTCCCTGCGGGGCGGGGGGGGGGGGGAGGGGTGTCCACGTGGGAAGGGGCTCGTGCCGCCCCCGCAGCCCCCCTGCTGGGCCCCAATGCCCACCTTCCCCACCCCGGACACAGCCTGCCTGCCCATGTCTGACCCCTCTTCTCTCCATTTAGACATGAAAGGCACCATTTGGTCAAGGAGGGTAATGAGAGGGCCTTCATGGAGGTTTGAAAGAGAGGCAGCAGATCCCAGTTTTCCTATGTTCCTTTCTTTTTTTCTTTTAGATTTTTTGGCCACGCTGGGCAGCGTGTGGGATCTTAGTTGCCCAACCAGGGATCACACTCACACCCGCTGGAAGTGTCAGTTTTAACCACTGGACAGCCAGAGAAGTCCCCAGTTTTGCTATACTCCTTTTGACTTAAATATAATTGAGAGTTGATCACCGGGAGGGAGAGGGAAAGATAGATAGGAAAGAAAGGAAAAGAGGCAGAAGACGACGTAACTGTCTGGATTGGGAGGAACAAGAGACAGAGGGTTTTGTATTTGATTTGAAATGACAGGCGTGGCCAGCCACTAAATAACACAGTGTGGGATCCCTGTTCTACCAGGGCTCTGAAGCAGTGGTGTTCAGAGAGACACAAAGTGGAACAGTGATTACCAAGGAGCTGTGGGGAGGAAGGGAGGGAAATGTTGGCTGTTGGACAGATACAGTTTCCGTTCTCAAAGTTGAGAACGTTCTGGAGATTGGTTTCACAACAACGCGAATATACTGAACACCACTGAACTGGGCCCGTCAGAAGAGTTTCGACAGTAAATGATACCTTTGTCTCCTCTACCTTCCACCCCTCCCCCTCCCCCCCAAAAAACATGCACAAAATGGTAAGAGGCAGCTAAGAGACACTGGAAAAGTCCTGCACTCATGCTGAGAAGAGAAAGCAAGTGGGGGAGAGAGTCCAGGGAAGTACGTTTTCATCCAGAATTGCTGGAACTGACGGGACAAGGTCTCGTGTTGAACAAACACACTAACTATTTGAGATTAGTGCTTAAGAGCAGGGCCAGGAGACTGTGAAGCCCCGAAATTCAGGTGAGTCTATCACAATGGAGCTGGGGGTGGGGGAGGCTGCAGGAAAGCGCCATTGCTTCTTATTATGAACTTTCACATAGGCTTTGCTTTCTTCCCCCAGATACGCACATGTCACTTTGCTACACTTCTCAAAAAGACCCCTTCACACTGTTCTAATGACAGTGTAGCCTCCCACCAACAAATGCAATGGTCTCTACACTTTTAACTACACATCACCTCATCAGTAAAAATCATTAAGCACGAATCCCTACTGGACGATGTGTATTTGTGAACGATCCATGTGTACCCGTGCAGACAGAGCAAGCAGGCCCACTGTACAAACCTATCAGATACATTATAAAACACACCAATAAAGAGAAATTCTAAACAGGGTGAGGAGAAAGTATATACAAAGAGGGCTTGATATTTCCTTTCCATATTCCAGTAAATCGTCTTACAAAGCCTCTGCAGTCCGAGGGGCCCTCTCTGGAGGCTGCGGAAGTAAATATGTTGCTCAAAAACTAGAGCTGAACCTCAGAAATGTATCAGGACACCCCAGAGAGCAAGTCCTTTTTTTGTTACAATGACTCCAACACCCCAGCAAGCTTTGGTTGGTTACATTTTTCTCCAGGCCTCCCTGGGGGTTCAGGAGGTAAAGAATCTGCCTGCAATGCGGGAGACTCAGGCTCCATCTCTCGGTGGGGAAGATCCCCAGGAAAAGGGTCGCCCACTCCAGTGTTCTTGCCTGGAAAATCCCATGGAAAGAGGAGCGTGGAGGGCTACAGATCTTGGGGTCACAAAGAGTGGGACACGACTGAGCGTCTAACACTTTCTCTGATTTTGTCTCAGTTCACGTGTGACTCTGGGCCCCACAATGAAGTCCTCAGGGCTTGCAGAGGGGGCTTTGGGGGCACAATGCCACGCTCCTGACTGCTGTCTCAAGATTCTAGCTGTTTCTCTTCATGTTCTACAGACAACGGCACAGGAAATTTGACCCTCAGGCCAAGGCCAGAGCACAAGACAACAGGCGGTTTCGCCCATCCTTACCTTGATAGATGCTGATCAAAACCCATATCAAGAACGTCTTGTAAGACAGTGGCCGTCCCTGAACGAGAGAGGAGACAGCGTGCGTCAGCGGGTGGGGCTCGGCCAGGGCGCCGGCTGCCTTCAGACGCCCCTCTGCCAGCCAGACAAGACAATCTGCCCGTTTTCATCAGAACAGTGACTCACACACATCGAAATACATTAAGAGAAATGACGTTTCTTTAAAAGAGAAGTGACTTTAGATGAAATAAAGCTGCTCCTTATTAGAAATTCCTTGAGGACAAAAAAAAAATGCCATTACACACACACACAGATTTTTCCGGAGGGTACATAAGAGCATTTCCAGAGGCACAAGGAGCAGCTACAGATCAGAACTGTCAGGGGCTTGTAAAAAAGGTATGAGGAGGTTTGTTTTCTATTGACATTATCAGTGTTACAGTTTAACAGTCTTTGCGTATGCACAGAATAGTTTAAGAAAAATGATAAGCTCCCACACCTTCCTCTCAAAGTAAGAAAGCCATCAGTTCAAATGTGTTCACATCAGACGTGGAGCGTCCATGTGAAACATGTTAAAAGAAGCAGAAAGGCGAGGTCTTCAGACAATCTGAGTAGAGTCTATATAATACCTTCTGCTGACGGGGTGAGAAACAGTCTAGGGACTGTATCATAAAAATAAAGACGTGACCCCAGCCATAGAATAGCTTTGTGGGCTAAGTCAGAAAGCATCTGCCCACCTAAGGCAAGCACACCTCATTAGATACATGCTAATTTATCATTTAAAGCAGCAGGGGGGGCGGGGGAGGCAGGCACGGGGCTGGAGGAGGGAGCTGGCCGGGGCTGGAGGAGGGAGCTGGCCGGGGCTGCAACCTTGAGCAGGTCTTTGTAGAGCTCGGGGTACAGCATCGCCACTTCCGACTCGACGTCCTTGTCCAGGACCAGAGAGAAGACGGGGAACATGGTGTAGACGGTGGAGTACCTGCGAGAAGAGACGCCCCTCAGCGAAGAGCCGGCCAGCCCCCGCCCCTGCAGGCAGCTCCCACCGCTTCGCTCGACAACCACGCACGGAGCACCTGGAGCACGCCAGGGCTGGTGTAGAGCCCCGGACATTCAAGATGAAAAGCAGGCAAAATCGCCCGCCTTCCGAGAGCTCCCGTGCTGGGAGTCAAAAAACAAACTCAGAAAACCGTGCTGGGTGCTGAGGGAAACATGACGGGGAAGAGGGACCAAGACGCGGGGTGAGATGGTGCAGCTGCAGAGCAGGGGGACGGGACGAGCTGCCCACGAGAGGACGGGGGTGGCCGTGCCGGGGTCCAGGGAGCAGCCTCCCGGGCAGGCGCCACGAGTGCAGAGGCCCGGGACGGAAGTCCGTCTGTCCTGCGCGAAGAGCAGCGAGGCGGCCCCCGTGGCCAGAGCCGCGCAGGTGAGGGGGACGCGAGCAGATGAACGTCCCCCGAGAGGGAAGGGGGACCAGGTCCCGGGGAGGCACGTGCAGCGTAAAGCCCTGCCTCTGTTCTGGCACGTTCCGCCACGGTTCCAGGGCCTGACAAAGGGCAGGCCGCTCTCCCCAGTGAGAAGCAGGCAGGACCCCAGGGCCAGCTCTCAGGCTGAACGGCACAAGACGTACTTTGTAAGACGGCCCTGGGACCAGCCGGCCCCTCTGGGCCTCCTGCCTTGGTAACCAGGGGCCCTACCTGGGGCGCGTGGAAACCAGACTCCACCTCCCCGGGTAACTCAAGAGACCAGCACATCCTCTGAAAAGGTCACAAGGAACGTCACAAATTCCAGGTCAGGAACAGGGGTGGACGTGATGGCAGCAGATGCCCCAGGGACAGTGTCCCAGGTCACAGCACAAGCTCTACCAAGGCTACGTGCCCCCAAGAGGGCTAGGCTCTGGCAGCCTCAGAGACTCACCCGCAGGCGGTCGCTGCAGGCGGCCATGGCAAGAAGAGTCCTTTCCTGCTCCCCTCGTTCCGTTTTTCCTAAGACGCCTCGGGGACTTCAGTTTTGCCTGGTTGCCAATTATCTGATAACCTCAGGCTCTTGCATCAAGCAGTGTTCAAGCATCAGGTACAGAGGGACCACAGACAGACTAGACTCTACCCCTGCAGTCTGGTTACGAGCTTATCAGTTCAAAGTCATATTGATTCAAGAAGGCTCTAAACCAGACTGCCGGACCAGCCTTGACCTGGGGACTGAGGCGTCTTTAACACAACGCTTCTTCCTTCTTCTGTGGCGTTTTAAGGGTGGCTCATTAAAAATTAACACTTTGCCTGGACTTCCTTACCCAATGATGAGGAATCCTTGATAGAGGGGGACGGAGGCGAAGTAAAACACAGATGAAAACACAGCCTGTGCCAAGGAGAAAAAAGGACGTCACCAAAACATACCAAAAATGTTACCAAAATGTACCAAAAACGTTACCAAAGCCCTCATGTCTGTATCATAAAGACAGCATCACTCACAGAGTGCTAATTTCACACCTGCCTGTTACAGTGCTTTAAGTATATTAGCTCATTTAATTCCTACAGCAACCCTACAGAGGAGGTGTTGTTACCATGGTACCCATTCTACAGATGAGGGAAGCAAGGCACAGAGAGTTTCAGTGACTTACCTGAGACAGCACAGCTCATAAGGGACAGAGCCAGGAGTCACGTCAGAGGGTTTGGCTCCAGGGTCCACTCTCAGCTCCTCTAAACGTTTACTAACTTACACACAAGCCAGACCTGGGAATACCTTATATCTGATCTCAGTGAATCTCCACAACCATCCATGAGATCAAGTCCTAATATCCCCTACATCATAGAAGGGCAGAGTGAGCAGATAAATGGACCTGCAAGGATTCAAGCCCTGTTCTGTCTCCAGAGCCCACACACCCAACGGCTCAAAATCACCTGCTCTCTAGGTGAACAACTGATAAACAAGTTGGCATATGCATGGAAACAGACACAGAAAAACATCCTCCACCCTAAGGATATGTACCAGTTACCCTGGAGGGTGGGATCGCAGAGAAGGCTTCACTTCTCATATTACATGTTCTACTTTTCTTGGAAATTTTTACGAAGAGCCCAAAACCTACTACTTTTGCAATCAGACAAAAGCAATAAAGATATTTACCAACCCCTACTATAACATCTGCTTCCTGATTTGGAAAATATGAGCAGTGAAAAATTTGCTGGGGAGATAAAACCAGCCTTGATGCTCTGTTACTTCCTTCTCTGAACATCTACTGACCCCAACAGAAGCAAAGTGACCTCTAAGCTAATTAGTATAAAACCTACCGGAGGCCAGGGACAGCTGTTGCCTGAAGGATTTTAAAAACTGAACATGGAAGAAAATCACTGCGGACAGTGACTGCAGCCATGAAATTAAAAGACGCTTGCTTCTTGGAAGAAAAGCTATGACAAACCTAGACAGCCTATTAAAAAGCAGAGACATTACTTTGCTGACAAAGGTCCATCTAATCAAAACTATGGTTTTTCCAGTAGTCATGCACAGATGTGAGAATTGGACCATAAAGAAGGCTGAGTGCCAAAGAATTGATGCTTTTGAAATGTGGTGCTGGAGAAGACTCTTGAGAGACCCCTGGACAGCAAGGAGATCCAACCAGTCCATCCTAAAGGAAATCAACCCTGAATATTCACTGGAAGGACTGATGCTGACGTTGAAGCTCTTTGACGTTGAAGTACTTTGGCCATCTGATGCAAAGAGATGACTCACTGGAGAAGACCCTGATGCTGGGAAAGACTGAGGGCAGAAGGAGAAGGGGACGACAGAGGATGAGATGGTTGGATGGCATCACCGACTCGATGGACATGAGTTTGAGCAAGCTCCAGGAGAGAGTGAAGGAAAAGGAAGTCTTGCGTGCTGCAGTCCATGGGGGCGCAAAGAGTCGGACACGACTGAGCGGCTGAACAACAAATGGAAGAAAAGGCTGGGCCAGCCTAGTGGCTAGAAAGAGTGTGGAACCAGAGCCCTCTCCCCCTCATCACTGTCGTGGGCCTTGGCTTGGTACAGAGGTCAGGATGCAGGTGACACCGAGGGCTGGGGTCACGGGCAGCCTGGCTCTGCCCTGGTTGTGACTTTGGAATTGAAAGGTCAAAGCCTCTTTTCAGATGACTTCTCACACAGGCTGCTGCCCAGGAAGGAGGATTAGAAACAGGTCAAGAATCCTGGTGCTCAGTTTTGCAAATCAGTCAGGAACCTCTTCCTCTAAATAGGCCAGACTGACCACGACACCTTCACCCTGGAAACAGCACCGGGGGAAATAAATGCTCTATCTTCATCTATCTCAGAGGCCACTGTCAAAGTGCAATTCTAACGGGACTCTCTCTCAGCCAGTTACTTTCGGCACAGTGGACAGGGTTAAGGGGTTTTTTACTGGGGAGGGGGGATGGTTTGTTTGTTTTTCCCTCAATAACACAAAGAACAATTCCTCACGCTAGAACTGTTTTTTTCTGAATCCATGTTTATGGTAACATACGGGCATTACAGAAGTAAATTCATCCAGCCCAGCCTGTGTGTGTTTGCCCGGGAATGAGCTGATTAATCTCCCAGTGATTAAAACCATGACATTATCCAGTCCAACTGATGAGCTTACATAAAATAAAAGTACAGATGTGGTCTGATGAACCACAGCAGCTGTTAGCGTTTTGATTGTGCTGATGAAAATCACTTTAAAGCTCCTTCACTCATAAGTGCAATAGATATTGAAAATATAACCGCCCCCAGCCCTCCCCTGCAAAGGCACAGACGAGCCTGTGGAGGGTGGATTCTCATGTACATCAGGCAGCACCACTCGAAGTCTGAAGGCAGGGTGTCTTTTGCATATGAATAAACACCTTTCCCACAAACTAAAACAACACCTTAACCGAGAACAGTCAAATTCAGAGAGTCAGAAAGTGAATGGGGAGATTCCAGGGACTGGGAGGAGGAATGGGGAGCTGGTGTTTAACGGGCAGAGTCTCAGTTTAGAAAAGTGAGCAGTTCAGGAGATGGATGATAATGAGAATTGCACAACTGTGAGAATGTCGTACTCAGCGCCACTGACGTGTGCAGTTAAATGTGGTTAAAATAATGTTTTATATTATGTGACTTTTACCACAATAAAAAAAGTAAAAGGATAAAACCTCACCTTAGGTTTACACATTAGCCTGTTTTGCTTTTATTAATGATGGTAAGGATGCCTTCAGCACTTGATGCCTTAATAAAACTCTCTGCTTCTCAAAGTAGCCCTCTCTGCGGGGCAAGGGCCAAGACCCTTGAACAGAGTGATGCCCCCTTGACAGGTGGAAAGACCGAAGCCCAGAGTGGTAACGTGGCTTGCTCAAGGTCTCAGAGACACCTGGGGATATGGGTTCCCTAAGTTCTCACCATTTAACTGGGGTTCTTTTTTACCTAAATGCCCAAGGAGAAAATCAGCCAATAGATGTTCAAGACCTAAAATGTTTTCTTTCCCCGCTTTGGGCCTCCTCCCTATTACGACTTCACTGCCATGGCCTGAAGACAAGACTATGAAGGAGCTGGGGGAGACAGAAGATGGCAAGATACCTTATACATTCTAGAATCCTCTGTGAAAAAGCAAGATGTTACTCCCTGGGTCTGACCCGTGAGTCAGGAAGATCCCCTGGAGTAAGAAATGGCTACCCAGGACAGTGCTCTAGCCTGGAGAACTTCACGGACAGAGGAGCCTGATGGGTTACAATCCACAGGGTCACAAAGAGTCGGATACGACTGAGCGTATCCGACTCTTTCAGCTCCCTGAGGACTGACTGGGATGAACACACGGGACTCCCAGCCGGGCTGCGCTGGAGGCAGAGCTGAGGTGCCCTGGCTGCACCGCCCTCACTAAGCGCCCCCTTCGGTGGAGGCAACACCAGCCCCCCACAATGGAGGGCAGAGGGGATCCCAGGACTAACAGAGCAGGTACCAGGGCCCCCTGCCCAGGTAGACTAAATCCCTGAGGGATACGGTACCAATTTCCCACCCTCACTGAGGCTCAGCCTCCCCATCTGTAGAATGGGCACAGACCACAGAGAAGGCTGCAAGCGCCCCTGCATTATGAATACTCAGCCTACAGTAAAGGACGCTCTCAAAAAAGTACACTGTTCATCAATGGCTGCTCTCTGCAGGTCCCTGATTCTGCATGTGGAAAACTCCGAGCTGGAGTATTCATTTGGTGTTTACCTCTGCATCATTCCCTCTGGCAAACTAAGGACGACAACTCACCCCGATGCATGAACCCAGGTCACCTACACCTCTGTCCATCTGGTGCCCGGCCAGGCCCCACCGCTGCGGCTCTGCAGAGCAAGCACAGCCTCGGCCCCCACACAGGAGCTCGGCCCCCACACGGAGGGCTCCAGGCAGGCGCTCGGAGCTCTTTCGGAGTTGGGGGGGTGGGGGCGGTGCAGAGTGGCGGACTGGAACTGGCTCGGCGGGGGGAACCGTTCCAAAGCGGGGCCTGCTGCTTCTCCGGCACTCTCCACAGCAGCCCCCCACCACGCCCGCCCACCCACCTGCATGGTGCTGATGCAGAGGCTCCTGTGGATGACAAACTGGCTGAGGGCGGCCGAGCGCTTGTAGCTGTTGCGGCCATGCACCATGAGCAGGCGGCCGAGGTGCCGGAACTGAGTGATGGAGAAGTCGGCAGCCAATGAAGCCTGCTTGCCCTCCTGGGACCAGACGTCGAAATCGGGCACCATCAGGAGCACGGGGCGGGTCAAGGCAAACACACATTTGTTTTTTTTAATTGAAAAAGCAAGACACTGGTAAGGAGATCTTTGAAGAACTTCAATAGAGAAATTCTTTGGCTTCCAGCTATACACAGTTGGTGGTCTGAGTCTAAACGTGATTTTAAGAGAGGAATTTATTTAAATAAAAAACATTCCCAAGCACAGATAGTCATAATTGGGAAGTCAAATGGATCTAGTATTAAGCCTTGGGGGTTAGGCCCAACCCATAATGGGAGTCAGGAGCAATGAATCATTCCAAGATAGGCTCTGAGCACTCAGCTCCCTTAAGAGTTAAATATATCGGGGGGGGGGGGGGGGGGGCGCGGGGCTGATGCTACCAATGATACTAAACTGAACATTCCAAACACAGCTTTGCACATCCATAGAACTGGAAATAACTTAAGAGTGCAGCCATGTTATGGGATTCTTTCAAAGGGACACGGCAGACGCTATCCACGGGATAGACGGACGTCATGGCCTCCTGGCGTGGTGAAACAGAGGCACAAGCCCCTCTTGTGTACGCCGTACACCAAAACACAGAACCACAAGCAAATCCACCGGCCCCGCGGACGTCATGGGATGGCTCTCCAACTGCCCTGCATGCTTCAAAAATGAGTGTCCTGAAACACACCGCCTCTCCCACAAAACAGACGGAGAGAAGTATTCTCCACCAGAGAAGAGTGCAGAGACATGAAGACATGCAAACAAATGCAGCGTGTGAGCCTTCACCGCTTCCTGGAGATGTCTTTTTTAAACATTTTGAGGACCACTGGAGAAATGAGACCATGAATATTATATAACAGTATCGTATCAATGTTACACTTTTTTTGATGCTATTTTCCTTATGTAGAAACACGCCCTTTTTCTTAAGAGATCCAGGCTGAAGCACTGAGGGGTAACATATCTGCAACTTACTTTCAGCTGATTCAGAGGGAGAGGGAACTAGGAGGAGAATGTGACAAAAACGCTAATAACTGGTAAATTAAAGCAAAGAGTAAACAGGTGCTCACTGTTCTAGCTGACTTTTCTGAAGGAGTTACATTTTTCAAAACAGAAAGTTTGAGGAAATATACAAAATGATGGATCTACATGTTCTGATGTATAAAGAAATCTAAGAACAACAAACTGATGTACAAAGAAATCTAAGCTACAGCAGATTTAGGCAAGTTTCATTTTAAAAAAACAGAGTATAATGTTTTAAATGTTAAATTATACATGAGAATAATATATGTGTGTGTTAAGGTGTATGTATATATGTTGTTGTTTAGTTGCTAAGTCATATCTGATTGTTTGCGACCCCATGCACTGTAGCCCACCCGGCTCCCCTGTCCATAGCATTTTCCAGGCAAGAACACTGGAGTGGGTTGCCATTTCCTCCTCCAGGGGCTCTTCCTGACCCAAGGATCGAACCTGCATCTCCTGCTTGGCAGGCAGATTCTTTACCACTGAGCCACCTAGGAATCCCATGTATATTTGTGTGTGTACATATAAATTATATACATTCCCATAACAAGTAGTATACACATAGACAAAAATTCTAAGAGAATAATCAGTGTTACTAGTTTGATGCAGCTGTCTAAAAGAAAAAAATGCATTTTACCCATTTCTACATTGTTGTGGTTTTTTTACTGTGAGCACTTGTCACTTTTATACTCCAAAAAACAAAAGAAGCAGACTATAATTTTTAACAGAAGAGAAAATGTTCTTGTACTATACAGCATTGTGTAAAGAATTCCATCTATTAACCTCAACTGTGCTTCTTACAACCTGCATTAAAGGAATCATACAGATTTCAGACCTAACATCTTCTTCAAGGATCAGTTGGCTCTGTAACTTCAAGCAACTGTCAACTGGATGAGAACCAGAAAATCAGGGGAAAAAGGTGGAAAGGAAAAAAAATTGGTGGAAAATCCAGATGCATGAATGCATGGGACAAAATGCATAGAGCACATCTCTGGCCTTTATTCAAGGCCTCCACACTCTCACTCCAAACACAGAGCTAACAAATGTGGGCCCAACCTTCTGGCCTACAGTCATCTCAAGTCACAAAGGACAGAGGGCAGGGCAAACTATTAGTGGAAGGCACACAGTTGACAGGGAAGGAAAAAGAAAAATGACTGTAACACACAACCTTTAAAAATCTGCAGCTGTCACAGCATTTTAGGGAGGAACAAACTATGCCCCATTCTTCCATAATCCCTGAGAGACGATCCACAGTGTGATAACTAACGCTTTTACTCACAACACTACCAGGGAAGAATTGGAGGACATTCGCTGTACCCTAAGAATGTAGCAAGACACTTTAAAAGAAATTAGGTCTGGGCAAGCAAAGACTCAGCATTTGTCTCTAAGATACCGTGACACGGATCTCTTTCGGGTAGTAACACCAGGTAATACCATACCTGGTTCCTTAGGCTCTGTAATTCTAATCAAGAATTTCCAAAAGCATCGAAGCTGCATCTCGGAGGGAAAGAGAAGGCCCAGCTGGTGGAGCAGATTGGCTCCCCTCTGCCGCCCTGAGGCCACTACCTAACACCCTAATGCGGACCCCAGGGCGAAATCAGCGTGCCCGGTGCGTGCTCACCTTTCCCTCCACACCCACGCCGCAGTCCGACTCCTGGATCATGCTGACGTCATTGCCGCCGTCGCCTGCGGGGCGCACAGACCAGAGAGCAAGGTCAGCAAGGGGGGAGAGGTGAGGAACCACCTCGCCTCTCACAGCTCCTTCACAGCCTCATCGACCGCGGCCTCCTGTCGCAGGCTAAGTTTCTGTTCTGTTCTGCCCGCTCAGTCTCTCTGCAACAGGCTGCGGGATCAGCTGCTTCGTTTACAGGCAGAGGAGCTGAGAGTCAGAGGGACCGGGCGACTGGCCGAGGGGCCTGGCCAGAGTCACTGAGCAAGGGGACTGTGCCCACTCCGCGTGGGGGTCTACAGCCCCTCGGGCCCTGCCTCCGAAGTGCGGGGGTCCCGTCATCAATAACGATGACAGACGCTGCCCGGCTTACTGTGATTGCAGCAGGCGCCTCGTAAGGCTACCGCCTTTCCGAAACCTCTCGAGGGAACCGCGGGTCCTCTCCCATTCTACGCATGAGCAGACCGGCTCCGGACGGGGAAACGAGGACCCCCGTGGACCCCCAGCTGGGGAAAACCGGCAGACCGGACCCAGACCCCGCTCGGCAGTGTGGTCTTCTCCACCCCGGGGCTTTGCTGCGCTGGGGTCACTACTGAAGGCACAAACCGAGGAGGAAGGGCTGGAACGCCCTCAGCGTCCTCCTGGACACTTTCTCAGGGAGGAGTATTTGAAAATAATGGTGACAGAAACGGGGCCAAAGGGGGGAAGGGGTATAAATGTCATGGGCTGGGTCAAGGGGCCTGGGAACCTGAAGCCTGCAGCCGTGGGGCCCCGCCCCCGAAGGTCACTGGGCGCAGGGGCGGCGGGCCCGCCCCCCAAAGGTCGCCAGGCGTCCCCTGCGGGGTCACGCGCAGCCGTGGGGCCCATGCCCCGCAGGAGAGCGGGCGCGGCCGCGGGCCTACCTACTGCGCAGGTCAGCCTCCCCGTGCGCTCCTGGAGCAGACGCACAATCTGGGCCTTCTGCGTGGGCGCGCAGCGGCAGCAGACCACCGCCGGGCACTGGCAGGCCAGCTCCATGAACTCGTGCTCGTAGTACTTGAGGCACACCTGGCGACGACGGGAGAGGGGCTGGGTCGGCCACGGTCCCCCCGCCCCCGCGGCAGCTCCCGGGGTCCCCGCGCCCACCTCCAGGGAGTCTCCGGAGATGACCAGCGCGCAGTCGTGCTTCCTGCGGAAGGCGTTCAGCTCCAGGTGCGCCTCGCCGCGGTTGGTCACCTGGAAGGGAAGGCAGTGAAGGAGGCCTTGCGCTCTGAGCCGCTGGTAACAATAAGCGGCGACCTCCTGGAGCCCCGTGAGGGCCAGGTTCCCCGCCTAGAACCCCACCCTCCCCTGCCACCGACCCCCAAGCCAGAGCAGACCCTGTTTGCTGTGGCTGTGGGAATCATGGGGGTCTGCACACCAACCGTCCCCTCACGTTTCCCCCAGGAAGGCTGGGACCACGTAATCAAGGGAAGAGCAAAAAGCCAGCGTCCTTTCAATCTGTGCCCAGCACCATGCTAAGCACTATTCCTACACTTCCACCCTCTTTATTTCTCACAAGGGCTCTTCCAGGCTCCACTGCAGGTGTGAGGAAACAGATGCAGGGCACGATGTGTTCTGGCTGGAGGAGCACAGCCAGTCCATTTCAAGCAGGCCTCGGAAGCCAGGCTTCCAGCAGGGTGGCTGGCTCTTCTATAAAGAATCAGGTGTTAAATATGATATGCTCTGTGGGCCACAGAGTCTGCCACAACTACCCCACTCTGCTGCTACACTGCCAAAGCAGCCACAGATAATCCTAAACAGATGGGCAGAACTTATATTTAGATAAAACTTTATCAGGTGACCAGCACACAGGCCATAGTCTGCCACCCCTGAATCCTAGAACATACAATGTGTTCTCATTATGTGCAACAGTTAGGCTCTATAAAATCGCTGTGAACACTCAGTTTGTGATTACTGAACCCCTGCTCCTGGGGAAGATACAGGGCTAGGCTCTTGCAAGCCTCTGGTCACAATATTTTTGTCCGTTCGTCAATACAAAAGTTTGCTTTCTACATGTCTCAGTTTAAAGACATCTTTGAAAATATATACTGCTGAAATAAGTCAAAGATAAATTCTGTATGATGTCACTTCTATGTGGAATCTGAAAAATAAAACTAATGAATATAAAGAGACAGATACAGAGAACACATTAATTGTGACCAGTGAAGAGAGGGAAGAGGAGGGGCAAGATGGGGTAAAGGATTAAAAGATACAAACTACTATGCAAAAAATATACAAGCTACAAGGCTCTACTGTATAACACACGGAATCTAGCCAGTATTTTATAATTATAAATGTAGTGCATGCTAAGTTGCTTCAGTCGTGGCCGACTCTTTGTGACCCCATGGACCACCGGGGTCTTCTGTCCATGAGATTCTCCAGGCAAGAATACTGGAGTGGATTGCCATTTCCTTCTCCATATACCATTTAAAAAACTATAAACCAATATGTTGCACATGTGAAACATATAACTTTGTACATCAACTATACCTCAAAAATTTTTTTAGTAATACACATAGGTATAGTTGATTCATTAGCCCTAGACTCATGGCCAACAGAACTGTAACTCACACCTGAAGGAAGCTGATCTCTGGGAGGTACAGCACAGCCTTCTTGCACTCAGGGACATGGTCAGTACTCAGCTTTGCGCTGGGGACCATCTTAAACCATGAAATTGCAGGCGGCAATGAACAGACTGAAGGGCCCCTGCATCCATCGAGGGCTGAGACTAGATGGCAGAGCATCGCCTGACTCCACCTCAGCCGGGAAGCTGCTCGTCGGATGATGCCACTGTGCACGTCCATATACAACTCTGAAAGCAGCTCGAGTATTGATTTTGGGCTCACAAATGAATTTTAATGAGTGGGCAGATTTGCAAATACAGAATTCATGGACAGTGGGGAGCCACTGTATCTGCCTCTACGTGGTGCTGGTCGGGCTATTCCAGAAACTGCCAGATTTCTTAAAGCTTCAACGTGCTATGGACCAAAGGCAGGGGTGGCAGTGGGGGAGACCCCTAGAACATCTAGAGAACCCCAAGCTGTTTGGCTCTGATGGCAGATAAGCAGGACCATGATATTCGGCCCCAAAGGAGAGCTGGTGGCTCTCGCCCCGCGACCCAGTAAAGCCAATCACAGTCCTTGGCTTCGAAACTGGGAGTGGCTCCCCCTGCCTGCGCTGTTTGGCCATGGGCGGCTCCTCTCCTCTGCCAGCCATGGCCTGCGACCAGGGCAGGGCGCTCTCCTCTGCCAGCCACCATGCCTCCTCCAAAGGCTCCTCAGGGTACCTGCAGAAACGCGCACAGGCCAGTATCTGTGATCTTGGATTTATCTCCTATCCGAGGACTTGGCTTTCAAGGGTTCAGTGAAACCCTAGACTCATCTACACAGTTTCACGTGTATGAGCTTATCTGCATCCCGTCAGCTTCTCCAAGGGACCACGGCCCCCCGCAGGTCAAGAACATGGGTTAACGCGGGGTGGTCACAAGGAGCCCCCGCGCCACCTCCAGAAGGGATCCTTCAGCCTCAGCCAGGCCATTCAGTAAGTCCACCCAAACCAGGGCCCTGAGCTCCCCCAGCCCTCGGTGGTTAACGTCCTTCCCCTCCCCCTGGAGGGGCCCATGGGAGATTATGAGGTTACAGGGCAAACACAGCGTCCTACCCCCGCCCCCACCCCGAGGCAGAGGACCCTTTACCGGCCGGAAGATGTGGACGTCCTGGCTCCTGGTCACCAGGTGTGCGTTCTTCGCTGTGCATGTGGCTGTCTCCAGCTTGTCCCCCGTCAGCATCCAAACCTGAAATGACCGCAGAAAGATGTCCCCTCAGTTAGCCTTCAAGCTGTCCTGTCGCCCAGGTCAGCTGGGTTTCCAAACACGTCATGCTGAACTGACGAGCTCCAACTACCTCGAGGCTTACAATGTCCCCGAAGCACCACAGGGAAGGCCCTGGTTCAAGGGCTTCAAGACCCTGTGCGCCCGCTGCTGGAAGAGCAAAAGCTGGTGCAGCGCTTTCGGGAAACTGGCACGTGCTCCGGCAGACATCGTGAAGCCCACCTCTGCCCTCCTAATCCCCCTTCTGGGAATTTTTCTTAAATCAGTAAACAATCTCAGCAAAGGGGAAGGCTGTATGGATGGGGGGTCACGCCATGTCCACAAGAAACCCTGATCTGTCACGTTACACGGGGTCTTTCTACGGAGCCGGATGCCCCTGTGTGATCTCAGGGGGCTGGAAAGTGAAAGTGTTCAGTTGCTCAGTCCTGTTTGACTCTTCCCGACCTCATGGACTGTAGCCCACCAAGCTCCTCCATCCATGGGATTCTCCAGGCAAGAATACTGGAGTGGGCTGCCATTCCCTTCTGCAGGGCATCTTCCCGACTCAGGGATCAAACCTGCGTCTCCTGCGTTGCAGGCAGATTCTTCACCATCTGAGCCAACATGGAAGCCCCAGGGAGCGTCACCCTAACTGTGACCTGCCAACAGTAAACACGCCAGGTCCGCGTCACCTTGGAACAGAACACGCTGTGTCTCACTGCTGTGGGCTCAGACAGGGTAGGTGAGCTCCCCAAAGTCACAGCTAGCCCCTGTCCCCACCAGGCCCAGAACCCAGACCTGCAGAGTCTAAACCAACGTGCTTCCTGCTCCGCTTGTTCACTCATTAACTCTCTGTTCTCTCTGCTCCCAGGAGGGGTGGTGGGGTGGGGGCACCTTAGAGTCACGGGACAGGGACACCTCGGCATGAGGGGAAGAGCAGGGAAGAAAATAACCGTGAAGGTTCTTCACTGTGCCAGGCACCGCTTCAGTGCTGTGCATTTAACCAAGTGTTCAGGGCACTGTCCCTTCACAAACCCTTGAGACAGGAAACGGAGACGCTGTGAAGTCAGGCCACCAGTCAAGAACCACAGAAGTCGTCGGTGGGGAGGCAGGATTTGAACCCCCAGGCGGTGAAATGGCCGGGATGAAGGCACCAGGCCCTGCTGGGGGCCCCGTGCCTCTGGATTTGACTCCCAGAGTACGGTGGTGTTCTCCCTCCACCTCCCCACCTGGTCTTAGAGACAGTGCTGCTGTTCAAGGGGGAGGGGGCACATGTACACCGCTGGCTGATTCATGCTGAGGTGTGGTGGAAACCAACACAATACTGTAAAGCAATTATACTCCAATTAAAAATAAATAACACATGCACAAAAAATAAATAAATAACAATATTGTTTTATGTGATCCCAGTTAGGAGCCAGTCTTCAGGGTTCTTTGTAAGAGGGCAAACCCTGGCACAGGAGCTAGAAGGCTAGAGTTCTAGAAAACCACGGAAAGTCCTGAGCGCACTGAGGCTGTGCCCCACGCCAGAACACAGGCGGGGCCCCAAGGGGAAGCTCCAGTCCCAGGCCCGCGGTTCCCGGCAGGAGAGCCTGCGTGTGAAGCCACCTCGCGCGACCTGGGGGGCTGCACCCGGGAAGGGAGTGAAGTGGAAGTTCCCAAGTTCCAACGCCTCCCGGCCTGTGAAAGACCACACATTAGACCCTCATGACAAGCTAGCCGGACCCCTACGTGTACACTCCACGCCCTCCCCTCTCACGATGGAAACCAGCAGAAGTCCAGTACATGCGCGATGAATAAAACACTGCTTTTGGAGAGAATGGTTTTAAGGAGGGAAAAAACCTCAGGACAAAACCAATGGCAGAAACTTGGAATCTCCCAGGTTCCTAGAGGAGAGGTTTTAGAAATTGGCAGGAACAAACACGACAGGCCCCAAGGCGTCAGAAGTGGGCCTCTCTGACGTCAGACTTTGTGCAGAAATGGGATCTCACTGGCAATTTCCTTGCAATGAGCCAGGCCTGTGGGCCAAAGACAAGTGACAGTTTGGTGTGCAATGAGACACGCCTACACACGTGTGAGCCCCCGTGGGCTAGAAGGTGGCCGGAGCTGGTTTATGACGGCAGGCCTCATCCCTCTTGTTCACACCATCCTGCTCACAAGGACTCCTGCCAGACGGGGGCCCCGGAATGTAGCTGGGTAGAGATAGGCCACTAGCCTACGTTATCTTCAGGAGCTTCTAACCCATAGGGCTTCCCGGCGGCTCAGATGGTAAAGAATCTGCCTGCAATGCAGGAGACCCAGGTTCGATCCCTGGGTTGGGAAGATCCCCAGGAGCAGGGAGTGGCAGCCCACTCCAGTGTTCTTGCCTGGAGAACTCCATGGACAGAGGAGCCTGGCGGGCTACAGTCCATGGGGTCACCAAGAGTCGGTCAGGACTGAGCAACTAACACTTTCACCTTCTAACCCGTGAGTTTGCCAACCCCTTTCTTGGGTCCACTGAGGTGGAGCCTGCTCCCCAGGCGCCCTCTACTGGCCCCTCCAGGTTAAACAACGGGATGTGAACTGTTGGCCCCTGAACAGGCGAAGATGAAAATGCAAACACGGCAGTTTGTGGGGCAGGTGGTCACTCTGCCAGGTGGTCGCTCATTCGCCTAGACCGTAACACAGACGGCTGGCCGGCCACTCAACAAGGATGTAACAGACACCCCAAGCGTGCAGGACACCGCGGTCCTGAGCTAAGGTGAAGCGCCCGGTCCTGCCTTCACGGAACCCAGCGCGCAGAGGGGCAGCCACCAGCGAAAGGAAAGCGGGCTGTCAGAGCAGGAAGGACGGAGCGCCTCAGGTCGCCGTCTGAATCTGGTTCCCTGTGCTCCCAGTCACTGCTTCCACCCTCTGCCCCGTCTCTAATCTTCACCCTCCGCTGAAGAGACCACTCGCCTGAGTCCGGAGTTTGCTGCCAGGCAGCAGGCTCGCCGTACCTTGATGCCGGCGTTCCTCAGCGTCTCCAGGGTGGGCCTCACGTCCGCCTGCAGCTGGTCCTCCACACCCGTCAGGCACAGCAGCTCCATCTCCATCTCCAGGCTCTCGATCACCGTGGCCACTTTCAGGGAGCGGTCGTGCACGCTCAGCTTGGCCTGGACATAGCGGGCCTGGGACACAGCAGGGAACACGGTCACGCCGTGCGGTGGGGAGGTGCAAGGCAGACCAGGCCCATACAGGGCAGGAACTCCAGCCCCTGGGTGAGCCTCAACGTGGTGAAACTGAGATCTTTGGCCTCCTTCCAAGTTCATCGATCCAGACACCGGAGGCGGAGAGACCAGAGTGCCACCCTCTGCTCCGCGCTCACCTGCTGTGCAACTCCCAGCCAGTCACTAAACTTCTTGGAGCCTCAGCTGTCTTCCTCCATGAAGAGACAGCAACAGCCCCAACTGGACTGAGTTTTCTCAAGGGTGAGCACACCTCTAGACCTCAAAAAACAGTAGGCTCTCCCCCATAAACATACGCTGTAACCAAGAACCAGGTTGCTAAAGATGAAGTCCCACTTCCAAAGACTATCGACCCAACCTATCTGTTTATCCCCTCTTTATACGGTTAGCAAGGATACAGTCATTTTAAAGTATATGCCTTTGAAGTTAAGAAAACGGCAGAATGCATCCGGGCTAGAACTCCTGTTAAATCAAACTTCACAGAGAACTCACGCGTGTGAACGGGACAGACTGAAGCACAGTGTCTCCGGGTGGAGCAGAGCAAGAGCCCCAGAAGCCTCTCTCTGCAACCTGCTCCCCCTCCCTTCCAGTCATGCATAAATACAGTCATCCAGCTTTGTGCCAGGACAGGGGGTACAACAAGGACCCCCCTCGAGGAATACACAGTCCATGCGACAGGGTGACAATTAACAAGACATATTTATACCGGAAGCCTTGGCTGTGAAAGTCAGTGACCTAGTTCACATCCAATACTTTCTACAGCTTAAAAAAAATCAGAGCCCCAAGAAAGTTTACCATTTCAAATTTGAAGGTTTCATTTCAAATTTCCTAGAAGATTTACAATGACGACCCTAAGTGCTGGGGTACAAGAGCAAGCCAGACCAACAAAGTCTTTGCTCTCAAGAAGATTTTATTCCAAAAAGAAGATATTAAAAAGAATGTTGAAATACACACACAAAGTTATCATATTATAGCTGTTGATAAATGCAAATGAAGAAAGCTCAACAGGGTGACAGTGGGAAGGGATGGGGTGGGACTGCCTTAGATGAGGATCCAGGAAGACTTCCCGGAGGGGGTAGCATTTGAGCTGAGACCCAAAGGCAGCAAGGGAGGGGGGCCATGGAGTTCCATGAGGGAGGAGCGTTCTAGGCAGAGAGAAGAACCTGGTGTGCTCAGAAGTGACGTGGGTCTGGGCCAGAGCAGAAGGAAGGGAGGGAAGATGGTGAGGGGGGCGGGACTCAAAGCCAGCAGAAAAGCCACAGAACCCCTTACCTCGAAGTCTTGATACTGCTCCTCTGCTAGAGACTTCTTCGCCACCACGAGCACCCGGAGCCCCTCTCGGGCCATGTTTCCACACTGAAATGCAGACCCCGGTCAGAGGAGAGCCGTCCCAAGAGCTCCGAGTCCCCACCTCTCCCTGGGGCTGGCTGGAGGCTGAGGCCAATGGGACCCCCTTCCAGTCCAGGAAGGACCCTGGCAAATCACAACACTGCTTTTTCCTAAAGCTGTCTCCCTGAGCAAACCTTCTAAAAGGGGTTCAAAATTTAAGTCAATGCAGTCTGACTTAAATCTGGATATTTCTGCCTCGTTGGAAAACCTGAACCTCTGACAAAAGCACTGTCCCAAATGACCACAGTCAAAGACACTGCAAGGCGGCTGTTCCCATGAAATACAGTTGTCAGTATGCTGCCAATATGTTTAACACACACAGTGTGGCCCTGCTGGAAAACACATCCTGGCCTGTCTCAGTCAACTGAGTTACCTGCACGGCCGGCTCCTGTTGGCATGTGGGATTATTATCTCGCTAATTAGGAATTTATTGAGTTTAAAATGTGACTTCTTCACCTGGGGCTGAGATGACACAGAAACGGCCTGAGACACGGGCAGCTCCTTCCCTCCAGGCTATGGCTAGTTCCCACATCACAACCCAGGACAAGGCAGCCTGGGCCGGGCCCCACGATGCCCACCTCCTGGTACCCACATCCCTGTATGACCACTTGCCCTGAGGATGCAATGGACCCAGGGCCTTGTTCCCAACAGACACTGAAGGTGGCAAAGTGCAGAAAGGTCATTTCAGAGAAGGCAACTTCTGTTTAACCTCTGTTCCCTGGCTTGCTCCTCTGACAAAGCCAGGGCCACGTGTATGCTGCCTACGCACAGACCCACAGGGCCAGGAGCACGGCTGCCTCCAGCCAGGAGCCACTGCAGAGCTGAATCCCGCCCCCAACTGCTAAGTGAGCTCAGAAGCGGGTCCTGCCCCAGCCGAGCCTTCAGACGAGACCCCGGCCCGAGACCCGAGCGGAGGGCCTGGCTGAGCTGTGCCTGGAGTGCCGACTGGGCGGCCTGTTACACAACCCCAGAAAACGCACACAGGGACCCACCTCCCTGTCGCACACGGGGGACAGGCTGCAGAAACAGGCCCCGTCTCCGCGTTCCGCGTCGCGCTTACCTCTTCCTCCAGCCAGTCGTTGTACTGCACGATGCCTGCCATGACCACATCCGCCCCCTTCATGTAGAACGTGATCTCCCCGGTTGACTCATCCTAGAGAAGGGGCGGGAAGAATGAACACGCAGGAGGAACCCGCCTTCCGCGCCAGTGCCTGCTGCCCGCGAGAGGCACCACACACTGTCCTTCCCCAGCAGATGTCGCGGCGTTTGCTCACTTGGCCAGAGATGAAAAGCGACACGGGGGGCGGCTGGTGGTGTGGGGTGGGGGGGGAGCTCACTTTGGGGCAAAGGCCACAGAAAACAGAAGAAAACTCAAAGCACTTGGAAGATCATTAAAGGACGAAAGCAAAGTCAAAAGGATGGAAGAACTCTGTTTTTGCAGTTATCATTGTTCTAACAGGAATGGACTCCCACACTGTAAGACCGTTTTAAATCGATACACAGCGCTGCCAGTGTGGCTGAAAGGTGGTCTACCGGAAAGAGTTTGGGAAGTGAGATAATTCTCGAGGTCAGGGTTTCTCAGCCTTGGTGATGTTAACATTAGGTAGGGGCTGGAGAATTCTCTGCCACAAGAAGGCTGGACTATGCATTGCACCATCTCCTGCAGCATCCCTGGGCCTCCACCTGCTAGATACCAGCAGCAGGCCCCATGATGACAACCAAAATCTCTCCAGATATGAACCAACATCCCCTGGAGGACACAGCGCCTCAGCTGAGAACTACTGATCCAGGTAAAGCTGAACCTTAGCTGAGGTCCAGCTGGACCTTGGCTCAGCCCTCGAGCTGAGGACTCAGCTAGTGAAGAAGATACACACAGTCTCGGTCCACACTGACAAGATGTTCTGGGGAGAGGGTAACATCGCAGCCCAGGCATCAAATGCTTAGACCCAGCACCAGCTCCTGGCTGTGTGCACCTGGACAAACTACTTCTCCTCTCTAGACCTCACTTTCTGCCTCTGTAAAGCCAGGATCCTAACAACTCTTACAATATGGCTTGTTGGGGCTTAAGTGAGATACTCTACATAGAGCAGAAAGCAAAGGGCCAACATCTACAGAAACTGCTGACCCAGTGTTATTATTCCTGTTGGAGTGACAGGAACTCCTCAAGACCTTCAGTTGCACTGCTTATAGAAAACAGGGGTCTGAATGAGGGTGGTTTTGTCCCCAGGGGACTTCCAACATGTCTCGACGAGTAACTGACTGTCTCAATCCGGAAATGCTACCAGCATCTAAAGGCTAGAGAACAAGGATGCAGATAAACCACCCTAAGGGCTTCCTGGGTGGCTCAGTGGTAAAGAATCTGCCTGCCAATGCAGGAGACATGGGTTCGATCCCTGGGTGGGGAAGATCTCCTGAAGAAGGAAATGGCAGCCCACTCCAGTATTCTTGCCTGGGAAATCTCATGGACAGAGAAGCCTGTAGGCTACAGTCCATGGGGTCACAAAGAGTTGGACACGGCTTAGCAACTGAACAACATCAATCAGCCTACAATGCCCAGGACAGTTCCCGCAAGAGAGGCTCATCCGACCCCAAATGTCAACAGTGTGGAGGTTGAGAAACCCTGGCTTTAAGGAACTGATGGTGAAATTGCTGATTCTTATCCCATGACTCTTTCCTCAGTGACCTTCATCACAGGAAACCTGGAGGCAGTGGAGATGGGCAAGGGTAACAGCACAACCACCACCCCTTGTCCCTAAATTCTACTGCCCCAGGGAGCCCAGAATGCATGTCTGTAAGCTCTTCATGGAAGAGGAAATAAATACCCAGCGCCAAATCAGTGGTGTAGTTTCATCTTCTAAAGTAACTTCTGAACGCCTCTGATCACTGACCAACTTTTCGAACAGTATATACTTACTCATAAAAGCACCCACAGGCCATGAAGAGGCACCTGCATTTTAAAAGCATCACAAATGCAGGCTGCTTCTTTGATGGATTGCATCTATGCTTGCTTGTGACCTGGGCCAAAGATAGCTATGGGGTCTGAACATGAAAGCATCAGGTTTCTCTTTTTGTTTGTTTCATTTCCCCTTCACCCTAAAGGTGCTGTGGGAAATAATGCCCCCCACCCCGGCTTCCTCTACTCCAGAAGGGACTCAAGAGAGCTTGGACATCTTGGCCAATACAAATACTGTATCGCCTGTCTCCTCCCGTTGGTCATTTCCTCCCACCAAGTTCACCATGAGGTTACTTCATTCCCATGTTACGGCAAGATTATGCTGTGAATTTACAGAGGTCTGCCCATTGCGTTGCATCATTTTGGGGCCTCATCTTTTTCCACTGTGGTCTGATTCTGGCACCTGTTCAAAGGCTTCTTTTATTCAGACAACGACAAGGGTACGATCTCTACCAACAACCCGACTTCGGCACGCCACGTGGGAAGGGCGACAGAACATCTTGTAACACAACAAAAACAAAACCAGCAGCACCGAGCCGAACACACAAGCTGCAAGGAAACCGGCTTCTCGAACCCGGCCGACCCTCTCAGGAGAGACTCACGCAAAGACCAGACCTTGCTTTGTGAGGGTTAAGACACTGCTCAGTTCCGTCCATGAGCTCACAGGTGCTTGAGGGTTGACGGGGACTTCCCCGGTGGTCCAGAGGTTAGGAATTCGCCTTGCAATACAAGGGACACCAGTTTGATCCCTGTTCGAGGAACTAAGATCCCACATGCTGAAGAGCAGCTAAGCCCGAGCACCGTAACTAGGGCCCGTGTGCTGCAACCAAGACACAACTGAGCCAAATAAATAAAGAAAAATTAAAAAAAAAAAACAAAACAAGAAACTGTAACTGTCAACAGTCACTAAACCAAGTTGAGAACTGTTTGGTAACTGAGGGCAAGCCTCCTCACATCAGCTAACTGGACAAACAACAGGCAGAAAAGATGGACACCTTGGGACAGTTTCTCAGCCTTGGCCCAACGACCATATGGGGTGGGAACATTCTTCATTAGGAGGCTGTTGGGGCCTCTAGCCGCGAGATGCCACTGGCAGCATCCTCTGAGTTCTAAGAGATGCCACTGGCAGCATCCTCTGAGTTCTAACGAGCAAAGAATGTCCCCAGACGTCCCCGTGTCCCCTGGGGGTGAGATGGCTCCAGGATAAGAAACGTCTGGTGAAGACAGGACAGTGAGGTTTGTGCAGAGACGTGAGCTAGTCCCGCGGCCCTGACCCGCACTCAGCAAGACCAAAGATAAAGAGGGAGACGGGGCAGGAAGTACAAACATCAGCAAATAATCCACATTTCATTAAAGACAGTCGAACAAAGATGGACGTGCACAGATTCACTGTTGGGAGTAAGAAACAGAAAACTACCTAAGTATCTAAGAGAGGGATATTTGATTAAATAATGTTACGCTTTTTCAAACAGAACACTAAGCATGCATTAAGTAATAAAAATGATGTTTTAATGACAGGAGAATATTTTCAGCATACCTATCGGTCAATGGTGGGGGTGGGAGTTTACAAAGTTTTAGGTAGAGTTTGATATCAATTGGATAAAAATGTGTGTGGCTATTTACACTCATTTATGCTTAGAGAAAAAAACAGAAGGGAAATTCCCTGAAAAGACAAGAGTGAGTGAGTCTTTGGGTGGTCAAAATACAGATGAATGGTTCTAATCCCCGGCTTTAACATGTATTTGTTCTGAATGCCCTGGGTGAATGCTGATCTTTTAAAGTATTACCTGGGAAGGACAGAGAGCCATTTTAAAATACAATAGATTTGCCCATCCAACAGTATCCCAGACATACACCCCATTCTTGCTGGGGGCAGAGCCAGGGGTCACGGCTCGTAAACTATGCCTCGAGTCTGGGCATGAGAGCCCCTCGCCACACAAGGGAGGGGGCGTGCAGGGCCCACTTCCAGAACAGCTGATATCGGGACTATCTGATGATGACTCAACCCCCAAATGACTCTAGCAGAGTCCACAGCCCTAGAACTTGGAAAAATAATGGCTGGAACAAAATTAAAGTAGGAGATAATGACTAATTCCTCAGGAAACACCCACCCAAAGGGTTCATGTGGCTGCTTCCAGGCCATGGACATTCTTGACATCAGACATGAAGTCAAGACATGGTCTGAAGGTGTGGGGCAGGCAGGATGCAGGCCAGCGGGGAAAGCAGGGACTGCAAGAGAGAAAAAGCCCTCACCCCACTTAGAAGCTGCCAAGGGCACACATCCAGTGGGGCCTGAGGACTTACTGGCATCAGGGACATAAAAATCCCTTACAGCGTGTTCTAAGGCACACTCCTGCTGTGTGTCACGGGACCATCAGGGCCCCGTCTAACTTTAACTTGGAGAAGTGGCCTCGTCAATGACTCCCACTCCCCCCATCAAGTGTGGGGCCCAGTGACCCGCTTCTGAGAACAGAAGGAGCCAAAGGTGTGTCTGCTGCTGCTGCTGTTTAGCCGCCAAGTCGTGTTTGACTCTTTGGCAAAACCCCATGGACTATACAGTCCACCAGGCTCCTGTGTCCATGGGATCTCCCAGGCAAGGATGCCAGAGTGGGCTGTCATTTCCTTCTCCAAAAGTATATCTATTCTCCAATAAAAATTAATTTCTAAAAAATCAGACTTGTAAGAAATAAAACTAATTAAAAATAAAAGCAATTTTAAGGTACAATTTAAAAGGGCATCTACAGCTTCCTTCATATAAAGCTCAAAGAGACAAAGTCAGTCAGTGGTAGGAATGGGACAGTGGTTATACCCTCGTGGGGAAGAAGGACATAAAACCAGAAAGAGGCACAAGGGAGCTGCTGGCGTGACGGTGGAGGGGTTCTGTCCTTGTTCTTGGGCCAGGCAAGTGGTATTCATTTTTCAAATACTTAAGCTGTACATTTATGGAGTCTGCACCTTTCTCTCGGTATGTTGTACTTCCATAAAAGTTTCAAAGAATTTAAAAAGAAAATCTGAAATATCAATGCCAAAATGACTTGCTGCTGCGTGATCACATGTTTTTCAGTAACTTTTGTGATTCTATGAATGAAAAATTACTGAAAATATTTTATTACGATAAAGGTGTCAAAACTATTCAATGGGGAAATAATAGTCTCTTCAGCAAACGATGCTGGGACAACTCTATATCCACAGGCAAAAGAATGAAGCTAAAACACCTACCTCACACCATACACAAACATCACTCAAAATGGATCAATGACCTAAAGAGATAAAACTACAAAAACTTTTCAAAAAAAATATGGGGGTAAATTTTCATGACTTTGGGTTTAGCACTGGACTCTTAGGTATGACATCAAAGTCAAGAGCAACAAAGGAAAAAAATAAATTGGACTTCATCAAAATGAGTAACTTATGTGCATGAAAAGAATTTTATCAAGAAAACAAAAACATAAGCTACAGAATGAGAGAAAATATTTGTATGTCATATCTCTGATAAGGGACCTAGACCATATAAAGAACTCTTACAAGACAATGATAAAAGACAACCCAATTAAAAAGTGGGCAAATGACTTGAACAGACATGTCTCCAAGGAAGAAATACAAGTGGCCAATAAGAATATGACAAGATGCTCAACATCAATAGCCATTCAGATCAGTTCAGTCGCACAGTCGTGTCCGACTCTTTGCGACCCCCATGAATCGCAGCATGCCAGGCCTCCCTGTCCATCACCAACTCCCGGAGTTTACTCAAACTCATGTCCATCAAGTCAGTGATGCCATCCAGCCATCTCATCCTCTGTCGTCCCCTTCTCCTCCTGCCCCCAAACCCTCCCAGCATCAGGGTCTTTTCCAATGAGTCAACTCTTCGCATGAGGTCCATTAGGGAAATGCAAATCAAAGCCACAATGAAATACCACTTCATAGCAACCAGGATGGCTACAAAGAAAAAAAATGGAAAATAACAGGCACTGAGGAAGAGAAACCAGAACTTCACACACTCCTGGTAGAATGTAAAGATGCATCATTTTGCAGAAAAGTTTAGCAGTTTCTCATGAAGTTAAAAGAGAATTATCCAGCAATTGGGAAACAAACCTAACAATTCCACTGCTAGGCATCTATCCTGGAGAACTGAAAATATGTACTCACATGCTTTTACACGAGTGTTCACAGTAGTCAACTACTCACAATAGCCAAAAGGTGGGAACAACCCAAATGTCCACTCATGAGTGAATGGATAATCAACATGAGATATTATTCAGTCGTAAAAGGAACGAAGTATGCATACATGCAGCAACATGGATGAATCTCTAAAACATGAGGCTAAGTGAAAGGAGCCAGGAATATTGTGTGATTTCATTTATATGAAATACCCAGAATTGGTAAATCCTAGAGACAGAAAGAAGACTGGAGACTTCCAGACTGGAGACTTCCAAAGATGACAGGCAAGGAGGTTTGAGGAGTGACTGCCTAAGGCTATGAGGTAACCTTCTGGGGTGTTGCAAATGCTGCAAAACTCAACAGAAGTGGTGGCCGTATGACATTATGAATGTACTAGATGGCAGTGAATTAATCATATCATGAATTTCACCTCAATAGAAAAGAATATATTTTAACTAAATGAACGAATATACAATGGAAAATGTATTATTACCAAGAGTTGCCCAATCTACACTCATTAGACCTTTCACTCTGAAACTGGGTTGACCAAAAAGCTGAGCAGCTATCAGAGATCTGTCCAACTGAAGAACAAATTCTCTTTCTGCAGAGAGAACTGTATCCTCTTGTTAGTCTGAACAACAGGCAATACGAGAGGAAAGAAAGGGGTAAAAAAGAATGTGTGTGCCTAGCCACAGACACACACCAGACTAAGGTGTGTTTTTTTTTTAATAAAAAACAATTTTTAGCCATAAACGAAAGACAACTCACCCTCACGATGATGCCCATGCGCTTGCTTTCGTAGGTAAAGGGGAAGAGCTGCAAGATGGTGAAGTTCAGGATCTGGTCGCCAGGGGTCCTCAGCTGCATGGAAGACTGGTCGCGCCCCACCAGCGTCAAGCCCACGCTCTCGGTCCACTGCACTAGGGCCACCTAAACGAGACACGGGCCAAAGGTCAGACACACAGGTGGGCATCCTGGCACACAGGTCAAGCGAATGAACAGGAAGGTGGATGGGGAAGCGGAGACAGGTGAGCCTGAGCAGAGCCTGCGTCCCCTGGGGAGGCCACGCTGGCCCGGTGACTCGCCAGCACCCTGCTCAGGCCTGGGGAGGCCCCTGGCTCATGGCTGCCTCCTCTTCCCTAAAGCAGCCACGAGCCAGACTGTGGAGAGAGCTACTCAGCTTCAAGGGTGACCAGCGCAACCAGGGGTCCCGTCGGGAAGCACCTGCAGCAAGTCAACTGCAAATATCAGGAAAGCAGCCACACGATGCGGGCGTGGGGGGGCTCCTGCCCTGGCTCCCCATTAAACCTCACAAACACCCAACTGGGAGGGAATCTACAGGAGCTCTCCACTGGGCAGCTCTGCCCCACGAGGGCACAGTGTTGGGTGTCACAGCCAAGCAGAGGGTGGACGTTTGCTCTTGGCATCTTGTGGCGGAGGCCAGGAACTGCTAAACGTTCTACATTGCATGGGACAGCCCCCCTCCCCGACAGAGAATTACCCCCACCGCACCCCACACAGCAGGCCTGACGAGGGTGAGGAGACAGGCTCGGAGAAGCTCCCAGGCTGTGAGCGGTGATGCTCCAGGGCCCGAACCTGGGTTTACCTGGTGCACAGCCATGCCCTCCACCGCCCTCTGCACTTGCTGGGGGCCTGGTCCTGTAACCAGCTAGACGTTTTCACAGCCTGAGCAAGGCTTGCTTCGCTGCCCATCAAAAGGCATGGAGGATGCAGGTTCCAAGGTGAGAACCACCTGGGAACAGCAGCCGGCAAGAGCCTGAGCCCCAGCTGGAGGTGGCTGCCCCCCAGGAATGGGGGTCCAGGGTGGGCACGGCTTCCAGCTTCTCAAGAAAAACCAGAAACCTGACCTTCTCCCCAAGCATTCTCAACTTTCCAATGTAAGCAAGTAAGCTGCATGTTTTAAGCACCTGTGAAGAAAGTGAAACATGTCCACAGATGAAGCTGGCCTGGGGTCTTCAGGGAAAGAAGGAAAGAGAAGTAGAAAATGGGGAGATAGAGAGGGGAGCTGGGAAGGGGTGACCGCCCAGCCCCGACCCCGGCGCCACAGGAAGGGGAACGGGCTGGGGGTGGGAGAGGACAGGCAAGGATGAAGAGCTACGGTGGATGGATGACAGCATCGGGTTTACTTGTCAGAAGAGCCCACGGACGCGGGAACTACCAACCAGCTCTACGTGGGGGATGAAGAAACAGTCTCAGAGATGGGAGGGCAGCTGCTCCCAACTGGCTGCTACGATGGGCTGAGATGAGCTCTAACCCGAGGTCCAGCTGACCTAAGTAAGAGGTCCAGGACAAGTGCCCATCCGGGGCCATCCAGACGCCCGTTCTCGAAACAGGTGCACACACATCAGCGCATCCTCAGGGAGTGCCTGGCCACCCGACTCCCTGCCACCATCAGAAGTTGACGGGAGGCACCAGGGGCAGAGTAACAGCCCCCAAACATGCCCACTTCCTAATCCCCGTCGACCTCCACCTCCAAAGAGAGGGCTCATCAAGTAATATTTTTTTTATGTGGACCAGTTTTTAAGGCTTTATTGAGTTTATTACGATACTGCTTCTCTTTTATGTTTAGGCTTTTTGGCCACAGGCGTATGATCTCAGCTCCCCAACCAGGGATGGACCCACACCCTCTGCACTGGAAGGTGCATCTTAACCACTGGGCTGCCAGGGAAGTCCCAAGTAATAATTTATCTTTTGGTACTAACTTGCCTAAGTCTTAGCAAACGCATTCATGTAACTGTTTGTTCTAATCACTCTGAATTTCAGTATGGCCTGTCTTATCTGCTAACAATTTTCTTTCAAAGTTTAAAATGAAAAAAATCAGTAAATATTTTGAAAATCTCATCCATACATATGAGAAAAACATTGAGTAGTAGGCTCAACTGGTAAAGAATCCATCTGCAATGCAGGAGACCCCAGTTCGAGTCCTCGGCTGGGAAGATCCACTGGAGATCATTCCAGTATTCCTGGGCTTCCCCTGTGGCTCAGCTAGTAAAAGAATCCGCCTGCAGTGCGGGAGACCTGGGTTCCATCCCTGGGTTGGGAAGATTCCCTGGAGGAGGGAAAGGCTACCCACTCCAGTATTCTGGCCTGGAGAATTCCACGGACTGTATAGTCCATGGGGTTGTAAAGACTCAGACACGACTGAGAGACTTTCACTTTCATGTGCATTAAAATGCTCACTGGGTAATACACATGAAGAGAAATTCCTTCCAGCTTTTCCTTTTCTCCATGTATACTACTGAAATATTTTAGCATGTTCCCGTATTTATTTTTAGCATCTTAAATTTTAAGTGAATAAATATCCCTACACAATGTGAGATATTATAAATACCTAGGTCTATACAAGACTCAAAAGCTTGACTAAATTTACATCCTCCTTTACATACCAATTTAGTAACAAAGAAAAAAATAATTCTTTCTCTAATGCTTTCTAACATGACTGCTAGGGAAGAGATTTTTTTTTTCATCCTTGCATTTAAACAACTATTATTTCACTCCTTAAAAATGTATTTAATTGTTCTGAAATGATGTGAAAAATCTCTAATACTGGGCTTTAAGAAAATAATCTAAGTCCCAGAAAACCTATTCTTAATGTCAATCAAGAGAACTTCCCTGTTGGTCCAGTGGTTAAGAGTCCACAGGCCGAAGCAAAGGACACGGCGTTGATCCCTGGTCCAGGAAGGTTCCACATGCCGTGGAGCAGCTAAGCCTGTTTGCCACGACTACTGAGCCCACAGACCCTAGATTTCGCAACAAGAGGGGTCCCTACAGTCGGAAGCCGTGCACCGCAATGATAGGCGGCCCCCACTCGCTGCACCGAGGGAGAGCAGCCACGGAGCCGCAGTGCTGACCCAGAAAAGAAGAAAGAAAAAGAAAGAATCCAAAACTCCGAAACAGGAAGCGGCTTTCAGGGCTGCGGGGGCAGGTCTGGCCTCAGCAGCCCAGGTCCCCCGGCACAGACCCCACAGGAGTGCACTGGAGGGAAAGTGGAACCGGAAATATCAAACAAGCACCAGCGCAAGTGTTCCCGGGAAGCGTGAACTACACCGGCGTGGAAGCATCTTCTCAGTCTGCGTTCTGCTCCAGCAACCCCCCACCGCCCCCCACCCTCACCCCTGGGGGCCAAGGTCCTAATGGAAAGCTAGAAGGTCTCCTCAGGGGCTGATTCCAACAGGATATGAGCCCTGCAGAGGGCTTTTCTTCCTCACCGTCCACTCTCTTACTCCGACAAACATGAAGTCAGCCTTAATTTAAAGCTGGTTTCTATCAGAACGTGTAAAGTCCCCAGGGGCCTACTCAGAAGAGAGCGGATTGGTTTAGAAGGCATGATGGGTAGGGGTGCTCTCTAGGCAACTGCGGTGGGGACAGACATTTCAGAGGTCAAGAAGGGATGCTAGGTATCCCTTCCCAGAACAAGAAGATGTGAATAAGGCTGCTACTTCTCCTAGGCAATCAGAGCTTTAGTTCAAAAGAATCATTCCCTATTGCCAAATCATCAAGTCTCACCTGAGGTCTCACTGATTCTCGCTGAGCAGGGGTCTTAGAGGGCCTCGGGTGAAACTATTTGGAGGTCAGGACAGCAGCAGAAAAACACATCTATCTCATAAGGTGGCTCAGCGTTAGAGAACCAGCCTGCCAATGCAGGAGACACAGGTTCAGTCCTTACATAGCAAGTATCCCCTGGAGAAGGAAATGGCAACCCACTCCAGTACTCTTGCCTGGAGAATCCCATGGGCAGAGGAGCCTGGTGGGATACAGTCCACGAGGTCACAAAGAGTCCGACTGGGCGTTCACGCATGCATAAGGTAAATGAATCAACAAATTAAGAGTCAAAGGCAAAAAAAAAAAAAAAGAGTCAAAGGCAAATGCTAGAAACCAAGAAAGTGCCCGAGGTGGGGATCTGGCTCTGTGAGTTGGCTGCATATTCTGATTTGGATCAGGAAATAAAAACAGAGTCTGCTACTCTACTCTGCCCCCATGAAAATAAAAGCCTATCTGAAGAATTCTCGCCAGAGCTGCCCATGAAAGGGCTTTTTCACCATTTATTGGTCAGCAATGAGCCATCTGTGATAAGTTTTAATAATTTTCCCTTTGTACCTGGGAATGTGTGCTTGGGAATTATGCCAGGCAGGCTAAAGAGCCTTGAATTCTTGTCAAAAGCAGGATACATGCGAAACATAAGAACACGCACAAATCCGCTATCTGATTTATTAATAAAAGGGTTCTTTGGTGGCCTTCCATCAGATAAACAGCCAGGTTTACAAAGAGTGGCCAGTCTGCCTGAAGCCAGCCTTTCAGGATTATAAATGTATCCACAGATCTAGGGTATTCTTTACTGGAGAAATAAGTTTCATAAACTACCATATGACCCAGCAATGCCACTACAGGGCATATACCCTGAGACAACCGTAATTGAAAAAGACAGAGATACCTCAGTGTTCACTGCAGCACTGTTTACAACAGCCAGGACAAGGAAGCAACCCAGATGCCCATCGACAGATGAACAGATAAAGTAGTTATGGTACATATATACAATGGAATATTATGCAGCCATTAAAAGGAAGGTAAAATTTGAGTCAGTTCTGATGAGGTGGATGAACTTAGAGCCTATCATACAGAGTGAAGTACACCAGAAAGAAACAAGTATCATATATTAGAGCACATACATGGAATTTAGAAAAATGGTGCTACTGATGAGCCTCTTTGCAGGGAAGGAATAGAGACGCAGACGCAGAGGACAGGCGTGAGGACAGCGCGGGGGCAGGCGAAGGTGGGTGAACCGGGAGTGGAGAGAGACGCGCATCATCACACACAGAACAGAGCTGCCAGGGAGTTACCGTGTGACACAAGGAGCCCAACTCCCTGCGGCAACCCAGAGGCATGGGATGGGGTGGCAGGGGGTTCAAGAG